TCAGAAATGATCACTTTCACTCATGTCAGGTTTTGTTTCTTTAGTTAATTTTGTAGGCTTAAGTTTTTCTTAAGTTCTCTTTTTGTTATGCCTAGTTTTTTCCTCCTTGTGAGCGACTTTTATTATTTCCAGTACCTACTCTGTTAAGAGGGATTACTTGATCTGTGAAATTAAAATTAAAATGTTTTTACATTCAAGACTTTGTCTCTGGGTCTTGCATTTGGGTACATCAGTTTGTGTCGAGATCCTGACAATGTTCTTCCCCTTAGACTGTTAGTTGTAGTAACCTATGAAATTGTGATAGCTAAATTAGACATTTAGTTCTGAAAATAGATTAAGGTTAACGTACCCAAAATATTACAGTTCGTTTAGGTTTAATTTCATGTTAAAATATACTTTGACAAATACATTGCATATGGTTTTGGTAGTCAATTCAGCGACTCCATGGGTCAATTAGCCATTCCTTCTCCCTTCCCTTATTTTAAAACGTAAGTATAATGACGATTGATACTTACATGTTAATTTTCTCACATCGGACTTTGGAAAGTGACTTAAAATATGTGTGGTTACATCAGCTGTGGCTTACCACTCCAACACTTAAGAGTGCACTGAAGCAGTCCTTGACATCTGGAAAAAAGCTCTGTGGCTTGCAGCGATGGTGAGACATCTCACACACACACACATACTATGGGTTCTCACTATAAAAATGTTTTTACAGTGTTTGTGACCATCGTGAAGTCTTTCTCAAGGCGAGAAACCAAGAATCTCTTGATGATGTCATACAGAGCAAAACACTGAAGGTTTTCCACAGGCAACGTTTTCAAAAGTGTCAGAGTGAGTGAGGAGGGATTTGGTCTTTTGGGTAAAACACATTTTAATTTGACTGTGCATTAATACAACTGTCTAGCATGCAGTTTTATGCAGAAAATCGACAAATGTCACTGAGATTGTGGTTGTTGCGTGATCTTGGTTTCCGCGCCACAGCTCCAGTTTCTTCCCAGAAAGGCTGGCTAACACACTGTGGTTGTTTCCAGTTGCTGGGTTACAAATGCCTGGTTATATTGTTGTAAGCTACATGCAGGCTTAGGCCGAAATGAGTGTAGAAGAGTTTGCTTTTAATCAATGCTTTAACTCTAACACAATAAATCCCTGTTGAGCTTTGTTTACCTTGGGTTACTTCATCAATGATTGAAGGAAAACCTAACTTCCTGCAATGTGACATTTGCATCATAGACAAAACAGAAGAGAAACTCTCTAACGTACATTTTCCAGTTGACACAAGAAGCTGTCTGGGCTGCTGTGTGTCTGAGTGTCTGGACTCCTGATTGCTATGCACACACATGTCTCACTGGAAGGTGGCAGAACAAATTGCCATCATCTGAAATGTGTGTGTCCCTGTGGTTGTGTGTGCATGTGTGTGTGCGTATGTGACCTTGACATATTGCTAATCCATTGAAGGAGAACAACTTGACCCGATAGCTGCAGGGCCAAAGAGCAGGACTGACACTGCGTGCACATTTGTGTGTATTTAGGTGTCTGTATTCGCTACGTCTGTGTACGTGCCTGCAATGCTGTGTGTGAGTCTCACCCTCTTCATAAACTTGAATTAGGCTGCCTGCACACAATCATAACTCAGCTAAAGTGCCCTACTCCAAAAGAGAAACAAATCACTATTGATTGTGTGTTTGACACTTTTACCGCCACAACACTGATTATCATTATTCAGCTACAAACTGTGTATTAAGATAATGCTTTCTAGTGTTAATTCAACAGTTATTAAAACAGCCTGAAGATACTTGAGAATGAGAACCATAGAGGGGAAATAATAGATCACAAGAAACAGAACAAAACATTAAGCATATGATGAGCAAAGAAAAAACAAAAAGAGGTGGAGACAATGGGAGAGGGGAAATAAGAAAAAATGTGTGGGAAGAAGGGATGGGAATGCAGGAGAGAAATGCTGAATTGCTATTGCATGGCACGAGACACTTTGCTCAGCAAGCTCTAGCTGCCAGGAAGCATTTTAATCACAACAGTAGATCCAAATAGGAGCAGAAAGCAGGGGAGGTCAGGAGGTTGGGTCGATTTGAAGTAAAAGGTTATCGCAAGAGGGGGATGAGTGTAATCAGATCCGGTTAAGGGAAAAATCACTGTTATAATGCACAGAGGGAAAGTGAAGGACGGAGGGACGGACAAAGTCAGAAGAAAAATACACACTACACAGAAAAACTAAAGGAATGACAAGGATCTGGAGAGAGAGAGAGAGAGAGAGAGAGAGAGATAAGAGAGTAAAGTCAAAAAGAAGCAGGATTTCTCTCATATTCTCTCCTCACTTATATCTAGTGGCCTTAAAGCCTTCTTCGAAGCATCCTCCAACACTGTGTAGTTTTTGCAACCCGGTATCACGGCAAGACGTGAACATGTGACGATTTACCATGCTGGGAGACGTGAAGATGTCACGATTTCGTCCCCTTCAAACGTGACAGTTACACGGTATTGTTAACCCATGTTAACCAGTGGAGAAATACCCGGAAATGCCAAGCAAATGCTACCCCAAGACGTGAACATGTGACATGTTCACGTCTTGCTGTGATACCGGGTTGAGTTTTTGTATTATTTAATGTAGACTACTTGCTGTTATTTAAAAAACGGTCCAAATTAATGAGTAAAGCAAAAACAACAATTTAGCTTATTCGTAGTTCAAAGTAATTTTAAAATAGGTGACTTGTAGAAGTTTTCAGCCTGAGACAGACACAAACATCACATGAACAACGTTGCCTTCAGTTCTCAGTATGTGTGCTTTTCTGTGCTGCTATATTTGCGTGTTTACCTCAGAGATTCTCAGAAGCCTGAATACGTATGCTCGCCTGCATCTGTCTCTCAGTGTGTATCAGCCCCAACGTAAGCCAAAAACAGCACATTACCCAGCTTTCATGGCACCCCAAGGAGGGCCTATTCCATTCGAGAATGTTATTAGTGGAGCTTAGAAGGATATTTCTGACTGTGTCACTAACTCTCTGCTGACAGACAGAAAAACATCCTTATACCGATGGAAATGCACGGAGTAGTGAGGCTCTAAAGTCAAATGGTCTTACAGGCCAAATTAACTGCAACAATATGTTGAAGTAGTCCTGCCTCCACAACTGGATATTGTATTGTAAATTATGTAAATGTCAGCTAACTTTCTTATTGCTTATGTAAAAATGTGTATTTACTACCGTATATTGAAATAATGAAGTACAGCTACAATCTTACGAAACCTACTATTATATCAACAGTCCTACGTGTGTAACATCTTCAATAAATAATTTGTGATCCATATATACATTTATAGCGTGTGAGTTTGTTATAATAATTATTTTACATTTAGCGTTTTTCCTTTGTTTTATTAAGATTGAACACCTTAGCAAAATGTGTATTTTCGTTAGCTTCTTCAATACAAAATAAATACATTTTTGAGTGAGTGCTTAAAATAATAAGTGAATCAGTCTGAAAAAAGTGAGACATATTTACAGCCAAATAAAATAGCCTGGATGAAAAACAATGGTCAACATGATGGATTTTCTTCGGCAGCCGGAATAAGACCAACATGGGAAAACACAATTTACAGGGTGCGTGTCTGTTAGAGTGGTCTGTTAAAGTACTAAATATGGGGATGTGAGCAGTTTGTTCTGAGGGTCTGCTGAATGGACTACATCAAAGCCCCCAGTTGTCCTTTTGAGAGTTCACTCAAGCAGTCAGTGTAAGCCAGGTAAACTGGGGTGGTGGGGTCAATTTTGTTATTGGTATTTATTTTCTGCTTGACCTTTCTATAACCCGAACACTCAGACAAGTCCCCATTGTCTTACATGGCTGAATTGACCGGTGCAATGAAGCTTGCTAAACTACTGTTGTGGGTTCAAATCAGTCGGCCAGTGAAATCAGCTTTAAAGAAACAAACCATTCTATTTTATGAAGCTTACATTAAAATACTAACATCTTTTATTTTTCATCAAACATCTATACTCCCTTGCCACATGGTTTCTGCAGAGCCATCAAGCGACCATCACTCACAGCGGGATTTAAAATGTTCTTCCCCCTGCACTGTTGTTTGAGTCTAACAATCCTACAATGATTTCCCCATGTGATCACTCTGTATGCAGTGAGAAATGGTAACTCAGTCTGCTGGAGTGATATTGAGCGTGCTGGGGCTTTGTCTGGCCTGTATTCTTTTGGTGACCTTATAGTGAAACTCCCAGTTGTCAAATTACATTTTCACCAGACCATAACAGGAAGCTAATGCTGGTAGACTAAAGTCATCGAGCTAAAATGCTTAGAACATTCCCCACCATTAATCATTCAGTGAAACCATTTTTCAAAGATTCTTCCTTAAGTCAAGTTTGTAATATGAAACTTGTAGTAAGGAAGAACTTACTACACTAATGTGCCTCTGCATATCAAGAGAAAGTTAAATATGCATATGTTGTTCTCTTTTAGAGCATTACTAATTACATTTGTTCTGTAATTACTTCTCCATAGCACATTTTTATTTCTATAGTCCATACATGACTCACTGAGGGATTCACAGAACCTGATGCAGTGGATTAATTAAGCAGTACTGTTTTTAAATTGTATCTCATTTATAGCCTGGTTTACTATCCTATTGCCTGTGGAGGTCTATCACCGCCTACTGCTGCTGGTTCATATTAAATAATTGAACAGGCAAACAGTTCGTAAGAGGTAACCTTTGACAGAAATCATTCACACAAAAGGCCCTGTGTGTGCATGAAGGATTGTGTATGTGCTTCTCTAGCTGGACATCTATTTTTCTTTTGAGGAAAGGACAACAACTTGAATGAATTTGCATTTATGTTTGTTGAAAACAATCCTGTTATGTTGTTATTAAGCATAATCACTTTTGGTGAGTATATGTACAATGATTAAATCCATGCTGTCCATGATTCCTCATGTGTGAACAGTACCTTCAAACCTCTCATGCGTGCTTGCAGTATTTTACTCACATGCAATACGGACGTGTGCCTTTCGGCTTTTGGTCGTTCCAGCGGAGCTCCAGGCCACACACTGACACCAGAAATCTTCAGGGCCAAACAGCTCCTCGACCTGCTGCCGTGTAATTTCTATACTGGCTTCTCTCACCACCAGACCTGCGGAAGAAAGGAAAAGCACAGTTGAATCCCTTGTAATATCAGTTGGGAATCATATTCAAGCTAAAGACGAGTGCCTCAAACGGTAAATGAGTCACGAGTTTCAATTCTCACTGAGCCACTGGTGGAAAAACGTAAGCTTATACTCTGGCGATACAGCTTGTATGTTAGCTAAAGAGGCCAGAGCCCGATCTGTGCACAGTAAATATCTTAGTAACTAAATAGAAGGAGAGGATAATAATATAATATATGCAGCATGTTTACAAACCCAGGTCACTCTACTGTGGAGACTCACTGTGGATTTAATGTCAACTTTGTGGAATTGGCCCTTTGCACTTCTCCCACTTATCTCATATTATTCATTCATTTTCCTGGGTGTTTTGAATGCAGCTCTGTATGAAGTGTGAGGTTAAAAAAGCTGCACCCAACTGATAGGACTACAGAGGAGCACAGAGAGAGAGGACTGCAGAGAAAAAGAGTCAATGAGAAGCGGCAAATAAACTCGGGATGAAAATACGGGAGACAAAGAAAAGGGTCAAATAGAACACAGGTGCAATAGCAGGGAGAAAAAGAGACATTAAGACTATTGTTGAAAAGCATGACAAAGTAAAGGAAGAATTAATAAAAAATAAGTATAAGGGACCAAATGTTGGAGAGGGTTAAGCTCAAAAACTAGAAATAAAGAGGAGAGGGAAATGAGAGAAACAGAAGACTGGTAAAAGTAATGATAAACAACATGAGAGAGGCACAGTGAGGGGAAGAGAGAGGATGACAGAATAAGAGGGAGAAGAAATGTGAAAGGAAAAAGAGAAGGGAAAGGAGATAGTTTTAGGTAAAGTAAGTGGGGACTTGGGAGCAGCCATGGTAAATGATTTGAGAAAAATATCTCAGCAGTTTATTTCAGGTTCAGCAGTGAGACAAGGACCCAAGCAACAATCTCTCACACATCTAACTTGGGCTTTTTACTTATGTAGACTAGACTCTCAGAAGGTTCCTGCCACTAGAGACATGTAAAGACAGTAAGTATTAAGCATGCCAGCTTAAAGGCAAACGGCACCGAGAGGATGTCAAAATGTGAAATCCAGTGAGCAGGATTTTGGTGGAACAGAGGCCATTAATGGACGGCAAGAGATTTAAAGAAAACCCATGAGGGCAAAGAGCGGGAAAAGTAACGAAAGCTTTTGTAGAAGCTAGCCAGGAGATGGGGAGACATGGCTTTAGAGTAAGAATAATACCATAAAGATTGATAACGGACACAAAGAGGAAAATAGGGCGGTGAGTAAAAAGCTTGTGGAAAGTTCTTCTGGCAAAACAAGAGATAATAGCCAGTACGGGGAGAAAGCTATAAGGGCAAAGAGCAGAGGCAGTATACACAACTAGTGTGAACACCAGTATCGAGCAAACTAGCAAACAAGGGATATTGTTATGGCTTTGCATCTGAAATCAAAATAGACAGGGGACACAGCAAGATAGGTAGAGGCAACAAAATGGCAACTAAAGTGGCAATTATAACCAGCAAGTAACCCAGGGTTGCGTTCCGATAATCCAAAAATCAGCTCCTAAATTCTAACCCTATCTCCTATTCCTTGACCTCTGAGTGAAACGTCACGGGGTTAAGAGATAGTGGATAGGAGAATTCAAAAGGATTTAGGAGAAGAGACTGCGGTGCTTAGAGAATCCGAATGCACTTTCACTATCTGACGTGTTTATGATGCGCCAGTGGACGTCATAAATGTGCTTCTGCTGCTGTGGGGAAACTATGGAAACTACAGTTTTCTATACAGCGGACTACAACATGGATGTTTAATAAGAACGAGGGACTACTGTAAACTCATCCCGAGACTCTGCACCGTGCTCTGATGCTGTTGCTTTATGCTTTATGAACGGGGACAACAGAGAAACATATTCTTCATGACCAAAGTTGGAATTTAAATAAAAAATTAAAGTGAAACTTATGCTCGTCACCCTCTCCCTCCGGTCCACATTAATACAAATGATCCCAATACGTATGATTGTATGAACTATTAAAAGATCTTAAAATAAATACAAATGTATTTATTATAAACGTTAGTCCTTAACACCTATCACTGTGTATATCACCATTCAAACATATTTTAAAAGTTGAACAAACTCCACACAGCTCAGTGAAATGTTGACTTTATTTGATCATTTCAGTAAAAACTAACGTTCATATTTCTCTTTTTGATTATAATACTGATGAACGTTCAAAACAAAGCACTTTGGCAACTTACCACATACGTTTTAAAAAGCTTAATAAGCACCGTAACTTTCATGATATCATTTCTCCCATTATCGGTTGTGTCCGTGAACGGCCGACTGTTGCGTGACGTCAAATGTTGCGGCTGCAATGCATTGTGGGGCAGCATTTTCTCCTCTCCTTTCGGTTAGGGAGGTCCAGTGGTTCCGAAGCTAAAGGAGGTTATAAAGGAAGTTTGAAACCTCCTTTCCTTTCATTTGGAGAATTGGAACAGCACTTATCATGGCTGCCAGTGACGTACTTCCGGGTCATTTCACTCCGTTAGGAAGGTTCCTAAGCTAAATGGACTATTGGACTTCAGCCCAGGACTAAAGCTGAGACAACAAGTGGGCAGTGGAAAAGAGCTGAACACCAGTGGACATCCAACTGCTAAAGTAAAAAGGGTAGGACGGCAATTAAAGTGAAAAGTTAAAATTAGCCATGAGCTAATCAGAGCATGATACATCTGAAAGTAGCAAATAGTATACACCCTGATATTAGTCTTGATTAGAGAATAATACTGCGGAGTGGAACCGTTCTCCCAGGAAAGGACTAAAGGAGTAAAAACCTTGACAGTAGTTTTGTGTTGAACTTATGTAAGGAATTGATACAACTTTATTGGTTCTGCTTATTGATCTTACTCTTCATCAATTCCCAATCAAGTGTTGGGTGGAAAAAACAAACATATATTTGTCAAGATCAATTATTTCAGTACAATAACATGTCTTTTGGAGACTGCAACAGGCAACATTAATAGATGACCGAGGAGTAAACCAGGATGTGTTTTGCAAGGTATTGCTTGTATTGAAACAGAGATATAAAAGTAAGAAAGCAGAGTAGAGCAGAGAGGGTTACAGAGATATGAGAAAACAGACAGAAGGAAGGGAGACAAAACAAGGACAGGACATAATACTAAATAGAGAGCATCAGGGAGAGCTGAGTTGGTTTCAAAGCAGGCGAAATCAATGGTTGTAATGACGAAATGTGTTCAACTACTCAGACTCAAGACAAAAAGATACACAAACCTGACACTGTATTGATGGGAGGCAATAATTGCAAGGAAAAGAGGAGCTGTCAAATGAATAATCATGCTCTGAAGTAATCCTTTAACTTCCAGCTTCAGAAACCTGATCAGCAGTCAATAACCTGATATTCTTAAATGTATAACATACTGTAGGTAGGGCATTCAGAGCAACGGTATATCAGCAAACAGCTATTTGTCATATAAATATAAAAAAAGAGTTATGTACATCGTGAAGTCAAGTACAGAATGAAGTCACACCTGCTTTGACTGTGCTGTTATCCAATAATTCATGTTTTGAAAGTTTACAATGCTGGCAATATTTAACACCACATTGTTACTTTCTTTCTGTGAGAATTTTTTTTTTATTGTTCTGGTTTTTATTGGTCTGTTTGCATATACAAAGATTTCCAACAAGGGGAAGTATTACTTTGAAGCAGTGCAGAGAAATTAACCGGAACGTTATTCCTCTTGGCGATGCGTGCCTGTATCCTAGATGATTAATTCCAAGGTTTAACAGAGCTCGATGTAAAATAAACAGGTAGAAATACTTTCTGTTAATATCCAATATCTCAGACATGAAATCTGCTGTTGTGAGTTATACTGTTTGTTTTAGATTCAATTATTGTAATTTGATGGATAAAGGGATGTCATACAGTTACATATATTAGTAATTACCATGTAATTGGTGTGTTTTCATATCAGCTTGGAAGTAAATGTTAAAATTCACAACAGGAACAAAGTATGTCATAGTTTTTACACCACAAATTGACACCTATCTAAATCCTCCATGAAAACAGATTCCCTTGTTTTCCTTCACTGTCATTTCAATAAAAAAGTATGTCAAACAAACAAAACAAAAATGGGACTTTACATAAAGAAGAGAAAGATGTGTGCTGTTGAAACCGGTAAAGCCCCAGTTGCCTCCATGTTTGCTAATGCAAAGCTCACGCAGCAAGAGTTGCCGGGCAGAGAACAACCAACTTACCTGAGGCTTTAAAAAGTCCCAGAACATTCGGTGTCTTATTTTGTTTGGATACAAAGCTCAGAGCGTCAAATCTCTCTCTTAAGAGAAGACAAGCGTAGAAATGTGGGTCTCTGTAGCATGACAGTGCTTCACATCAACAAAACCACGGCTGTCAGCTGAGGGAGGGGAAAGAAGTAGATGAAAAATGGAAGACAGGTATCAAGACGAGTGGATACTGTCACAAACATTTCTGTCAATCATAAGACTGTGCGCTACCACTGAATATTTCTCTGAGTCCTAAAGTGTCAATTCCAATAACAAAGTTTACTTGTCAGCTGGGGAGTAAAAATGCAAGTTTGGGTGAATGTACTTTGTCAGGTCTGGACTTTATTAACTGAAAAATGGGAACTTTGAGAAACATTCATAAAAAAATCCAAAGAGAAAGAAGAAATAAAGAAACATTGCATAGTTGATTAGTATGATTTACATATGTTATATCTCAGTATATAGAGATGTTTGTCAGGCTTAAACTGAATGTCCACAACACATGTAGTGTATATGTAAAGGTGATGAGGAGGATGCAATACTTAAAGAATGGTTAAAACACCTGTAGAATTGTTTCTTTGCTGCAAGTTGAAACATTGGAAGGGCTGAAGGTTGATTAAGGCGAGACATGGCAGGCAAAAACATCGTTTTTCAAGTACTGGTCAATTTTGAGATTTTGTGCTATTTTGATTCCATAACATGTTTTCTTT